GATCATGTTACCAATCCGAGCGGGTCATCGGAACCTTGTAACTGTCGTCACTTTTGGGTTCTTGAGGCTTGAATATGAAGGAAGTCTCGAGCGGGAGCCTCGTCTGTGAGTGAATTGCGGGGAAGTCTCAAGCGGGAGCCCCCTCCCTATGGGGCCCACAGATCATGTTACTAATCCGAGCGGGTCATCGGAACCCTGTAACAGTCGTCCATTTTGGGCCTCTGAGGCTTGAATATGCAGGAAGTATAAGGCGGGAGCGTCGTCTGTGAGTGAATTGCGAAGAAATCTCAAGCGGGAGCCCCCTCCCTATGGGGCCCGCAGATCCTGTTACCCATCCGAGCGGATCATCGGAACCTTATAACTGTCGTCACTTTTGGGCTCTAGAGGCCTGAATATGGAAGAAGTCTCGAGCGGGAACCTCGTCTGTGTGTGAATTGCGAGGACGTCTCAGGCTGGAGCGCCCTCCTTATGGGGCCCGCCGATCATGTAAGTAATCCGAGCGGGTCATCGGAACCCTGTAACTGTCGTCACTTTTGGGCTCTTGAAGCTTGAATATGAAGGAAGTCTCGAGCGGGAGCCTCGTCTGTGAGTGAATTGCGAGGAAGTCTCAGGCGGCAGCGTGGAGGTCCGGTTCGCGGCCGTGCAGGAGGAGCTGAAAAAGAAATTGGGGCTCGTGCAGGAGCAACGGGCCACCATCGTGTCCTTCGAGTTTCACGCAGACGACGAGCGGGACTACGAAGAGTGCGCGCTGGGCCAGCTCTTCCGCCCCCGCTTCCTACCGCACGGAATCTGGCTGCAGGTGCACGGCTTCCAGGAGTCCCCGATCTACAAGGAGGTCGCCGAGGTGCTGCTGCAGGGCGCCGATGGCGCTGCCGACGACGGCGAGGCCGAAACGCGGGCGAGGAACTTGCTCATGTTCAGGCCCAGCGAACAGGAGCTCACGTGGCAAAGCTCGGGGGCGCACGCTGTGCGCCGCTCGGGGTTCACCCTGACGCATGCATCCTACCTGACCTCCACGCTGTCGCAGGGCCAGACGCTGCGCAAGGGCGTCACCATCGACTGCGCCAGGGATGAGGACGCTGGCCGCACGGGCATGTCGGACGAGATGTGGTGGCTGCACCTCTACGTCATGTTCTCCCGCGCCACGTGCATGCGGAACATGCTGATCCTGCGGCCGCCCGCGCGAGAATTCCTGGAGCGCGGGCCGCCGGCGTCACTGCGGAAGGCGCTCCAGGAGTTCGACAAGAGAGCGGTGGATTCCAGGGCTGAGGCGGAGCAGCTCGCGGCAGAGCTGGGCTTCGTGCTGCCGCCCGCCTGAGCGCCGCGGCGCGCACCTAGAGGCCCGCGGGGTTGTCCCAACGGCTGGCTCCCGCGCCCCTGCGGCCTGCGAGGTTGCCCCAACGGCCTGGCCCGAAGGGTTGTCCCGACGGCTTCGCGATCTAGCCGTCGGCAAACGCGCGCGTGCTGGCCGACGCGGCGACGGCGCCGAGGAAAATCGAGTTGCTTGCCACGACCAGGGGGAACGGGAGGTGCACATGGAGAAGAGGCAGGAGGATGAGGAGGGAAGGGGCATGGGGGAGGGCGACGACGAGGAGGAGGTGGCGCGAGAGGAGGAGGAGGAGGAGGAGGAGGAGGAGGAGGAGGAGGAGGAGGAGGAGGAGGAGGAGGAGGAGGAAGGAGGAGGAGGAGGAGAAGTAGGACGAGGAATAGAAGAGGAAGAGAGGGCAGTGCAGAGGGCGAGAGGAGAGGGTGTCCGCCAGGGGGAGGAGGAAAGGGCAAAAGGTAAGCTAAACATATTCTCATGTGGTGTCCTACCGTCGGAGTAATTGTTGTTGTTGTTGTTGTTGTTGTTGTTGTTGTTGTCGTAGTGTAGTTGTAGTCGTAGTGATCGTAAAAGTAGTAACGCTAGCAGCAGTAGTAGTAGTAGTAGTAGTAGTAGTCGTAGTGTAGTATAGTAGTAGTAGTAGTAGTAGTAGTAGTAGTCGTAGTCGTAGTCGTAGTCGTAGTAGTAGTAGTAGTAGTAGTAGTAGTAGTAGTAGTAGTAGTAGTAGTAGTAGTAGTAGTAGTAGTAGTAGTCGTAGTCGTAGTAGTAGTAGTAGTAGTAGTAGTAGTAGTAGTAGTAGTAGTAGTAGTAGTAGTAGTAGTAGTAGTAGTAGAACCAGTAGTAGTAATCGTAGCAGCCGTGGTACTACCAAATCTTGATTACGGCTGCAGCAAGACTTTATAGTTCGCATGAGTAGGATCATAACTGCCAGTGTGCAAATTTATGTTTGGGACTCGGAGGACGAATAGTATGAAGATAACGACTTAGAGGGGACGAGGAGGAGGAGGACGGGGAGGAGGAGGAGACAGAGGAGGAAAATAAATAAGACAAACACCTAGAAACGGAAGACGAGCAGCAGGAGGGGGAGGAAAAGGTGGAGAGGAGGAGGAGGATGACGAGGATGAGGAGATGGATGAGGATGGGGATGATGATGATCATCATCATGATGGTCGATGAGGTGATGGTGAGGAGAAACAAGACATGGAATCTGTGTCGCGGCCCCTTCGGGGCGTCGCGGCAGCAGCGGCGCCGTCTTACGCGGGCGGCCCGCGGCTGCCCGGCTTGCGGCCGGCTAGCGGCCGCGGCGCCCGGGGCGGCGCCGGGGCCGAGGCCTCCCCTCGAGGACGGCGACGGCGATGAGCACGACGCGGACGGCGATGACGGACGGCAGCGGCGGCGGCGGCGACGACGACGGCGAAAACGACCACGGCGACGGCTGACTACCACCCCTGCGGTGCGACGTCCGTCCCTGCGCGCGCGCGCCTTCTTGGCCCGTCTGGGAGGCTAGTTTATTCGTCGTCTGTTGGCCCTCGCGGGCCCGTTCACAGCCTCTTCCGCCATGCTGGTGCCACTTCGGGTTTTCTTGAAGTCATTTGATGACGCACGCACGGGTCTGGGAGGGCCGAACATCGACCAAAGAGGGGCGACAAATTCTGCACTTAAATCAGGATTCCCCGTGCCACCTGGAGCCCCCTCTCCAGTCATCTGCAGCCATATATATATATATATATATATATCTATACAAACACACTTGCGAAATCGCACATATGCATACGTACACAACAGTTTATCACACGCATATGCATATATGTGTATATATATTTAGACAACATTTTAATGTGTATACTTTCTTTACGTGCATACGCACACACACACACACGCACACTAAAAGCCACGCTCACTTCGCGCACGCGCGCAAGCTCTAGTCTGAGGGTTATCCGCACCCTCGCTTCCCACATTTCTTTCTGTTGTCTTTAGAATCTCTCTCGCAACCAAATGAAAAAAAAGAGGACGTTGATAGAGGCCTCCAAGAGAGGAGGCCACATATGCTCTCTCCTCCTTCTCCTGCTTTTTGTTCCTCCTTGCGCTTCGCGGTTGCTTAGGTTCTGGCGCGGGTTGCGGCAACGTAAGACCCACAATGGGTGCATGTTGCGACCTACTCTGGGGCGTCATCCTATTTGGGGTACGTCTCTCCCTCGTCCACTGATCTTCCCCATCCTTCCCTTCCTCTCCTCCTCCTCCTCCTCCTCCTCCTCATTCTCCTCCTGCCCTCTATCTCCTCTCACTCCCCGCCGTTCATGCTCTCATGGTCCCTGTCTTCCCAACTCCTTGCAATACTGATCGGTGCAACGGGGAGGGCCGCTGACATATGAAGCTACTGTGTGCAACCATCGCCGCACATGTTGGGCCGGCTTGCGGCCCCCTCGCGCGTGGTGGCCGTCTGGGCCTTACTTTCGGTGTTTTTTGAAGCCCCTGAGGGTGTTCAGGATCTGGAGACGTGAATGAAGACGCGGGAGACATCTTGAAGGGGAGCTGGCACAGTAAGAGTGAAGCCCCTTCTGGGGCTCAATTGCACCCGCATGCGTGGGGAACGTCGCACGAAATGCCACTGATGGAGCCGAAGGGATACAGGTTCCTTTTATGGAACCGAAGGGAACATCGTCTCACATTTCGACTTTGAGAGCGCGGGGCGGGCGACATCACTCCCGCCTCTTCGCCACGCAACTGTTCCTGCGTTTCGCGCTCTCGCGGGCGCGGCGAATCTAGTTGCCTCGTCATGCGCCGCGAGGGCTCCTGAGAAATGTGGGGGCACTCAGGAGACATTGTGCCGAGAATGTGGAAACAACGAGAACATGTCTGTCATATGGAGCTGCCGTGCGCAGCCATCATCGCGCATGTCGGGCAGGCTCGCGGGACCCTCGTAAAAGAATCCGTCCTGGGGGTCTTCCTGGATGTCCGGGTCTCCGGGTGTCCTCTGGGGACGTGGGAGGGGATGAAGGGAGAGCGGCGTAGGGCTGTCCAGAAGCCTTCTGGGGGAGCCTCTGGGTCTCTTGAGAAAGTCTTTGTGGCCCTCATGGGGATTTTGTTTGACGAGGGCTCGTGAGGAATGCGAGGGGACCCAAAGAGATTTTGCCGACAATGTTCTGGCGCAGGGCTTCGGGAACGCTCGGGAGCGTGTGGTGATAGGGCACAAGTCTGTCATAGAGAGCTGCCGTGTGCAGCCATCGTCGCATATGTCGGTCAGGCTCCTGGCCCCCTCTCGCACATGGTGGTTGTCTTGGGTGTCCTTCTGGAGGTCGGGATTCCTGGGAGTGTTCTTGAGACGTGGGAAAGGAAGAGGGAGGAGTGTGAGAAGGAGGAAGGGGGAATCGTGTAGGGTTCTATGGAGGCCATCCTGGGTAGCCTCTGGGCCCGTCGTGAAAGCATCTGAGGCCCTCATGGGGCTTTCGTGACGGTCTGTGGGGAGCCTGCGGGCTCCTCTTCGGGTCTTCATGGGGCCTTCTGGCGTTGTCGGGGGAGCATCTTGAGAGGCTCTTGGAGGCATCTTGGGCACCATACGGGCCTTCTTCGGGCCTCTTGATGGTTTCTGGGGCAATGAGCGGTCTTGGCGCAGTTTTTGAACCGTCTCGGGGGCTCTTAGGCGCTCTCTTGGGGCCCTGTTAGGGCGTCCTGAAGCCCTATTGAGCCGTTTGGGACCTCTCTTGGGGAGCTCTGGGGGGGCCCTTCCGCCTCTACGGCGCGATCTGGGAAAACCCTGGGTCCGTGTTTGAGTGTCGGAAGCAAGAACTGGCGAGAAGGCCACAACCTTCAAACACCTAAAGCCACACATCCGATTCTTACTCGTTGGGGCCCTCCGTACGTGCCCTTGATGGCCTCTGGGAACGACTTGATAACTTTCTGGGGCAATCTTGGGGCTTCGTGAGCGGTCTTGGCGCCATTACGGGTCGTCTCGGAGTCTTATTGGGAGCCTCTGGGGCAGTCTTCGAGCGCTCTTGGACGCTCCCCGTGGACCTGTTGGGGCGTCCTGAGGCCCTCTTGGGCCGTCTTGGGGCTCTCTTGGGTCGTAGTGGGGGCCTCGTCTGCCTTCACGGCGCGATCTGTGAGGAGCATAACGCCGTCTTAAGGCGCCAGGGAAAACGAAAAGGCGAGAAGGCCAAAAACCTTCAAGAATCGAACGCAGGCACATCATGTTTGCTTTCTAGGGCCCTCTTGGCCGTCCTCTTCACTGCCTTGGGGGGCCAATTGGGGCGTTGCTGGAGCAGCATCGGCTTCCTGAACGTTTTTAATGTTGTTGTTGCTGCTGTTGTTGTTGCTGCTGTTGTTGCTGTTGCTGTTGCTGTTGTTGTTGTTGTTGTTGTTGTTGTTGTTGTTGTTGTTGTTGTTGTTGTTATTGTTGATGTTTGTTGTTGTTGCGGATTGACAACGCAATGTCTCGCGTGCAAGCTGGTGAACTTCGCCACTCAATTGAAGATCGTGCTTGCCGCTGCCGGGGCTCGTGCAAGCAACAAATTCGCCGGCCCAACTGGCCAGAGCCATGCTAGAATCTCCAGTGACAAGTGAAACGTATGTCTACTTCCTGGCAAGGTCCCAGGCGGGCCAGGGTCGCGGATGCTAAAATTTTGGGTGCGGTCCTCAGTGCTCCCAGAGTGCCCAAGGAGTGCCCCCGGGAGGCGCCGAATAGATAGGTGGCAGGCCCCACGGCTTCAGGCCAAGAGCGCGCCAAGATGGCCGATTATGACTTCAAGACGGTCCCAAAGGCGCCCAAGACGGTTCCGGAGGGCTCCAAGAGGACCCCAAGAAGGCCCCTAGAGGCAACATGCATGGATTTCCCATCGGTTTGGGACAGATTTTGGCGTCACCGCCTTTTCGGGCTTCCGGCCACCCAAGACTGCCCAAGAGGCCCCCACTATCGCCCCAAGACAGGCCAAGAGGTCCCAGGACGGCCCCAAGACTGCACCAGAGGGCCACAAGACGGCCCAAGATGCCTCCCAAGAGGGCTCCAGAGGCTCCCAAGAGAACCCCAAGAGGGGGAATCCGAACTGACATGTCGAACCTTTTCGTTCAAAAATTTCCCCCGAGGGCCCCAGGGGCCCCAAGGGGCGCAAAAGACCAGGCGCGGACGCGCTGCGCCTCTTCCTCGCCCGCGCCTGTGGCTGCGGGGTGGGGGGCCACGCCCCGCTCGGGCTGCGGATTTGGGGGAGAAGGTGGAGGATGAAGAGGAGGACGAGAACGAGAACGAGAAGGAGGAGGAGGAGGAGGAGGAGGAGGAGGGAGGAGGAGGAGGAGGACCCCCCCAGGCCCTGCGCCGGCTAGTGCCCGAACACGTTCCGCTTCTTCGCCTCCCCGAACAGCGGTTTCCTGCGCCGCGCGTCGCCCGCCCGGCCGCGCGCGCGGGATGGACGAGACGGAGAGGTCAGGACACCCCGACAAACGCCCGCCATGATACGGTGGGGAACTGTCGCTTAGCGCATCGCGGCGGCGGCCCCGGCAACACGCTGTGCCTTGCGAGTGGACAGTGTGTCGCTCCGTCCCGCAGGGCGGGAGGCTGGGAACGGCTCGGGACTAGCACGTGGAGAATGTCTTGCGCCGAGGCGTGGTGGGCCAGAACCGGCGGCGCGACACGGTAAGCCAACGTTCCTCCCCACCGTAGACATACACGATGATGAACGGTGCTGCGAGACATCTTAAGGCACGCTCTTCGTCGATATTTGAGGGCCTTGATGTGCCCCAGAGCTTCCCGTAACCCCCCAAGGGCCATTGGGGGATAAGAAACTTTCACGAGACACCTGCTGGCAGGCCAATTTCTTATCTGACGTGCTTGCTGTAGCCATCACCCCTCTTTTGGACGCCCCCGATGGGTGTGGATAGATGCTCTCCCCGCCCAGTTTCGCGGCATCCCTCCCCGCTCCAGGGGGATAGGCTGGCGGCGCCAGCGCCCGGGCTAAGAGGACGGAGAGACGAGAAGGACGTCGACAAGCGCCCTCGCCGAGGTTTTGCGACGCTCTCGTCGGTTCCAAAGGGGGCTCTCCAGCCTCGGGGTGCCTTCCAGCAACTGCGCCTCGCAGAGAAAACTCCGGTGGTGTCTGAGCTGCCCCGAACGGCCGCGGGATGCCAGAATTCTGCCACCAAACAACCGACCGTCCAGACCTAGAACGCATGGAACAAATCAACACGGAGGTTCTTCGTTGTATTCAGCCCTGGGGCCCCTCGCCGGGCCCCGGGACCGTCAGAAAACGACTCGGGATGAAACGCTGGCTCGGGGGAAAGCGCCCCTCCTCGAATTACTTCCACATCCTCCTCTTCCTCCTTCTCCCTCTCCCTTTCCTTCGTCCTCCCCCCTCCTCCTCCTCTTCCTCCTCCTCCTCCTCCTCTTCCTCCTTCCTGGCTCCTCTTTTCTGGCTCCTCCAGTCTGGCTCCCCCTCCAGCTCGTCCCCCGTCCCTTCTCTCTTCCCCTCCTGCTCTCTTCCTCTCCCCCTCCTTCCCCCTCTCCTCCTCCTCCTCCCCCTCCTCCTCTCCTCCTCCTCCTCCTCCTCCTCCTCCTCCTCCTCCTCCTCCTCCTCCTCCTCCCCCCCTCCTGCCCCTCCTCGTCCCCCTCCTCCCCCTCGAGCGCCCTCCCCTCCCCCGGCGTGCCAGCGCGCGGGCGCGCGCGTCCTGAGGTCCATGCCGTGGCCGGACAAGATCTCCGCGGCCATCGACCGCTGCCGGCCCGACCTCCAAGCCTGCACCTCCCCGGGCGCGCCGTGTGTGGGGGGTGGGGGGGGGCCGCGGCCTTCGAGCGCCTGTGGTCGGCGGCGCGCGTTAGACGTGCCAGGAACCCACCAAGGTGGCCGAAGCTGGCTCGAAGCTGGCCCAAGACGGCCCAAGAGGCCCCCAATAGGGCCTTCAGGAAGGCCAGAAGAGGCCAAAAACATAGATTTTCCTAAGGTTTGTGACGGATTTTGACATTTCCTTCTTTTCGGCCTTCCGACGGCCCGAGACGGCCCAAGAGCCCCCAAAGATCGCCCAAGAGGCCTCCAAGACGGCCGCGATGACCTTCAATATGCCCACGTGTTCCCCGAAGGCTTTCCAAACCGATTCGGGGAACACACGGTCCGATGGCTTGGCAGGTCTGGCCTCAACGTTCGGCCACATAGGCGCTTCCACAGATGCAGGGGGCGGCGGTGATTCGCCGTAGGCGTCTTCGATCCGCCGCCCCCTGTCGATTCATCGCAGGGGTGCCTGGCTTGCCGAATCCAATCGGTTTTGGTTTTGGTTCTTTTACCAAAAAACTCCCCCTGGGGCTTCGGCCCGTCCCGCCGGCCACCTGAAAGGATGCCGAAAGATTGTCCAGAGGTGGTTGCAAAGGTTTTTTCCGTTCCAGACGGCTCTAAGATGGCCACCGAGACGCCTCCAAGACGGCCAAGATGCACCCAAGACGGCCTAAGATGGCCTCAAGATTGTCCAAAACGGCCCAAGAGGCTCTAAGAGGCCTCCAAGACGGCCCAAGAGGCCTCCAAGAGGTCCTCCAGGAAGCCCCGAAGAGGCCCAAATCATTGCTTTTCCTAAAGTGTTTGAAGGATTTTGGCATTTGCGCCTTTCCGGCTTTCCGACGGCCCAAGACGGCCCAAGAAGACCCCAAGGTCGGCCCAAGATCGCCCAAGAGGCCTCCATGATGGCCCCAGAGGCCCCCCAGACGGCCCCAAGAGGGTCCCAAGACGGCCCAAGAGGCCTCGAAGACGCCCAAGATGGCATCCAAGACGGCCAAGATGGCCTCCAAGATGCCTCCAAAACAGCGAAGATGGCCTCCAAGACGGCTTGGCCCCAAGATGCCTCCAAGACGGCCCCAGATGCACCCAAGACTGCCTGAGATGGGCCCAAGAGGCCCCCAAGAGGCCTCCAAGTCAAATTCATTGATTCTCCTTAGGTGTTTGAAAGATTTTGGCATTTGCGCATTTTCGGCCTTCCAACGGCCCAAGACGGCCCAGGAGGCCCTCAAGGTCGCCCCAAGATCGCCCACGAGGCCTCCAAGATGGCCCCATGACGGCCCAAGAGGCCGACCCCACGACGGCCCAAGAGGCCTCCGAGACGCCCTCGATGGCCTCGAAGACGGCCAAGCTGGCCCAAGATGGCCTTCAAGATGCCTCGAAGACGGCCAAGATGGCCTCCAAGACGGCTAAGATGGCCCAACGATGCCTCTAAGATGGCCCGATATGCACCCAAGACGGCCTTAGATGGCCTCAAGTTGGCCCAAGACGGCCCAAGAGGCCCCGAAGAGGCCTCCAAGACGGCCTCAGAGGCCTCCGAGAGGTCCTCCAGGTAGGCCCGAAGAGGCCTACACCACTGATTTTCCTCAGGTGTTTGAAAGATTCTGGCATTTGTGCATTTTCGGCCGAGGCCCCCAAGGTCGCCCGAAGATCGCCCAAGAGGCCTCAAAGATGGCACCATGACGGCCCACGAGGCCCCCAAGAGGGTCCCAAAGACGGCCCAAGAGGCCTCCAAGACGCCGAAGATGGCCTCCAAGACGGCCCTGAAGCGCCCCACGAGGGCCCCAAGTTGGTTCAGAGAGGCCCCTAAGACGGCCCAAGAGGCTTCCTCCTCCTCCTCCTCCTACTCCTCCTCCTCTTCATCCTCCTTTTTCGTCGTCCTCCCCCTCCTCCTCTTCTTGCTCCCCCACGCATTCCCCGAAGCCTTTCCAAACCGACTCGGGGAACACATGATCCGACAGCTAGGCCAAGCTCTAGCCCAGCTGTCTGCTCTGTCCTCTCCCAGGTGTTCCCCGAAGGCTTTCCAAACCAAATGGGCGAAGACATGCCCCGATAGCTTGGCCAACCTCTGGCCCAGCTGTCGGCCACAGAGGCGCTTCCAAAGGGGCAGGGGGCGGCGGTGATTCGCCGTAGGCGTCTTCGATCCGCCGCCCCCTGTCGATTCATCCCAGGGGTGCCTGGCGTGCGGGACCCTTTCGGTTTTGGTTTTGGTTCTTTTTCCCCATATCCTAAGGATTGGGGTTCTTGTTATTACTCTGACGCCTCCCACTGCTCCTCCTTCCTCCTTCCTCCCGCTCGCGCCTCCCTCCTCCCAATGATAATCACCAGATAAGACAAGACAAGATAATATACTACAAGATAAGATAAGATAGCACAAGATATGAAAAGGTAAGATAAGATATATGACAAGGTAGGACAATATATAAGATAAGACAGCCTATGGAGTAATAAGATAAGACAAGATATGATGCGATAAGATGAGTTGATATAAGCTAAGCTAAGACAAGATAAGAGATTTCAAGATAAGATAAGATAGAGGGTGATAAAGGTAAGATAAGATAGGACTCGATAAGATAAGATGAGACTCACTCTCACTCCGACTCACTCACAGTCACATTCACTCACACTCACACTCTCTCATGATCACAAAACGCTGCCAGGGGCATCATTTGGGAGCCCCAAGAAAGAGCCACCCTGGCTGATCTCACGAGCCCGTTCGCGCCGATTTTGGTGGGACGTCTCAGCTAAAATTGCCGTTTGGCCTCCCCAACATGTCTCTCTTGAGAGCCTCATGGTCACAAAACGCTGCCAGGGGCATCATTTGGGAGCCCCAAGGGGGAGCCACCCTGGCTGATCTCACGAGCCCGTTCGCGCCGATTTTGGTGGGACGTCTCAGCTAAAATTGCCGTTTGGCCTCCCCAACATGTCTCTCTTGAGAGCCTCATGGTCACAAAACGCTGCCAGGGGCATCATTTGGGAGCCCCAAGGGGGAGCCACCCTGGCTGATCTCACGAGCCCGTTCGCGCCGATTTTGGTGGGACGTCTCAGCTAAAATTGCCGTTTGGCCTCCCCAACATGTCTCTCTTGAGAGCCTCATGGTCACAAAACGCTGCCAGGGGCATCATTTGGGAGCCCCAAGGGGGAGCCACCCTGGCTGATCTCACGAGCCCGTTCGCGCCGATTTTGGTGGGACGTCTCAGCTAAAATTGCCGTTTGGCCTCCCCAACATGTCTCTCTTGAGAGCCTCATGGTCACAAAACGCTGCCAGGGGCATCATTTGGGAGCCCCAAGGGGGAGCCACCCTGGCTGATCTCACGAGCCCGTTCGCGCCGATTTTGGTGGGACGTCTCAGCTAGAATTGCCGTTTGGCCTCCCCAACATGTATCTCTTGAGAGCCTCATGGTCACAAAACGCTGCCAGGGGCATCATTTGGGAGCCCCAAGGGGGAGCCACCCTGGCTGATCTCACGAGCCCGTTCGCGCCGATTTTGGTGGGACGTCTCAGCTAGAATTGCCGTTTGGCGCCCCCAACATGTATCTCTTGAGAGCCTCATGGTCGCAAAACGCTGCCAGGGGCATCATTTGGGAGCCCCAAGGGGGAGCCACCCTGGCTGATCTCACGAGCCCGTTCGCGCCGATTTTGGTGGGACGCCTCAGCTAGAAATTGCCGTTTGGCCTCCCCAACATGTATCTCTTGAGAGCCTCATGGTCACAAAACGCTGCCAGGGGCATCATTTGGGAGCCCCAGGGGGGGTCCACCAGGGGCTTCATAGTCACCAAACGCTGCCAGGGGCAGCATTTTGGCTTCCCAAAGAGGAGTCGACCCGGGCCTCCTAGTCGCCAGACACTGCCAGGGGCACCATTGGGATTCAGACTCGCACCCAGACTCACTCATACACAAGCTCACTCACACTCAGATTCATTTCTTCAGAGTCAGGCACACACAGACGTACCCATACTCAGACTCACCCACACTCAGGCTCACCTAACCCAGACTCCGTCAGAAGCCAGTAGCGAAGAGAGCAGAGAGGAGAGAGAGAGAGAGAGAGAGAGAGAGAGAGAGAGAGAGAGAGAGAGAGAGAGAGAGAGAGAGCGGGAGAGAGCGAGAGAGAGAGAGAGAGAAGAGGAGAGGAGAGAGAGCGCGAGAGAGAGAGATAGAGAGAGAGCGCGAGCGCGAGCGCGAGCGCGAGCGCGAGCGCGAGCGAGCGAGAGAGAGAGAGAGAGAGAGAAGCGAGCGAGCGAGCGAGAGAGAGAGAGAGAGAGAGAGAAGGAGAGAGAGAGAGGAGGAGAGGAGAGAGAGAGAGAGAGAGAGAGAGAGGAGGAGAGAGGAGAGAAAGAGAGAGAGAGAGAGAGAGCAAGAGAGGGAGAGAGGAAGGAGAGGAAGCGGAGAGAGGGAGAGGAGAGGAGAGAGAGAGAGAGAGAGAGAGAGAGAGAGAGAGATTTGAGAGAGGAGGCAGGCGAGAGAAGAGAGAAGAGAGAAGAGAGAAGAGAGAGAGAGAGAAGAGAGAGAGAGAGATAAAGAGAGAGAGATAGATAGAGATAGAAGAGAGAGAGAGAGAGAGAGGGAGAGAGAGAGGAGAGAGAGAGAGAGAGAAAGTGGAGAGAGAGGGGGGGGGAGAGAGAGAGAGAGAGAGAGAGAGAGAGAGAGAGAGAGAGAGAGAGAGAGAGAGAGAGAGAGAGAGAGAGAGAGAGAGAGAGAGAGAGAGAGAGAGAGAGAGAGAGAGAGAGAGAGAGAGAGAGAGAGAGAGAGAGAGAGAGCGAGAGACGAGAGAGAGAGAGAGAGCAGAGAGAGAGAGAGAGAGAGAGAGAGCGGGAGAGAGCGAGGGAGAGCGAGAGAGAGCGAGAGAGAGCGAGTGAGAGCGAGAGAGAGAGAGAGAGAGAGAGAGAGAGAGCGAGAGAGAGCGACAGAGAGCGAGAGAGAGCAAGAGAGAGCGAGAGAGCGAAAGAGAGAGAGAGAGAGAAGAGAGAGAGAGAGATATATAT